ATTGTGCCTAAATGCAAAGCTGTGTTACTTTGCAGGCTCTCTGAAAGGCCCCTTGCACAGGCTGCTATCAGGTAAATTCGTTATCCAAGCAGCAATGGAAGGATGGAGTCTCAGCTGTGCCTTTGAGCATGCCTATACAGAGCTCTCCAGCTTTGCAGATGTCAGCAAAGTCGTCTCTTGTGACACTGTTCTACTTTCAGTGCCAAATCAATCTGTTATTTAGGAAAAGCCTGGGTGATTTAAAAAAAGTGAGTCAGTTCAGAAGCAGGCAGCTCTAAAGTGTAGGTTTAGGTATTATGTAGCTGTGTGTCAGTTTTATGGACATAATCCTTCAGTTTTAACTGAGCTTTTTAATTTCACCTAAAAGAGAAGCCAGCTGAATTCTCCCAACCCCTTTTAATTCTCATCTCTGTGTGCAGCTTCACTTAGTGTTTTTTATAACAAAAGGCTTTTAAAGTTGATAAATGGCTGCAGAGATTTTGCTTTACTTTGTTGCTTTTCTATTTATTTAACCAAGAGCAGTTCTTTTAGTCCTGACCTCAGCCTTGTCAAATAGACTGTGTTTGTCAAACTGCTCATGCTCCCATTAACTCCTAGCTGTTTCAGTTGTCAGATTTGATGAATGGCTCAAATGCTGTGAGCATCATTAAAAGCAGGGATACTGAGGAAAGTATTATGCTATACTGAGTCCAAATACACACCATAAATAGGAAAATTCCAAGCAAAGAAAATCTTTTATTGCATAAAGGAAATTGCAAGTGGTTTAAACTAATCTCTTTTAATGCCATCTTTCATATGTGCAGGAGACAAGAAAAAGCCGCTCAGGTTTCACGGTTGGTATTATCTCTTCATAGTTAAAGAACATTAGTAGCTTTATAACCTTATTTATACAAAGTTCATGCAAGTGTTTGGGTCTGCCTGGGGGAACTGGCCTGCTCAGCGCGAATAAAAGCGACAGAACAGTTCCCACAGTCTGTTCCTTCCCAAAACAGAGCCGGCTGTTTCTGTAGCTCGGCCTTGCCGCGAGTGAAACCGCGCAGAGCAGCTGCTGCTGCGGTTTGCCCTGCAGGGAAGGCTGGGCCCAGCGCTGCCCTGGGCTGTGCCCAGGCTGTGCTCAGGCTGTGCCCAGGGCCGAGCTCTGTGCCCAGACTGTGCCCAGGGCCAAGCTCTGTGCCCAGGTTGTGCCCAGGGCCGAGCTCTGTGCCCGGGGCTACCCAGGCAGTCCGGTTGCGCCCGGCTCCGCTGCCCTTTGCTGCACTGACAGCCCAGGATTAGTGCTGGGAAGTTGGGCAATGCCTTCAGCACAAAGAATAACTGTTGTTTTTGTGGGGGTTGTGGTGTTGTTCTGGATTCTGGGCTAGTTTTAACTGTTGAAGTCTACCTAAAGGCCAAAGAGCTGCTCCTTGAATATCTTTTTTTTTTTTTTTTTTTTTTTTTACATTCTTGAAGCAGATAAAATTTTTCCGATTAATATTTATAAAGAGACACATATATATTTAGATATGAAAGTTATACACTTCTAAACTGGTGATACTTCTCTGCTTATTAAGGTCAAGACAGAGTTACCGGGGTGTTTCTTTATTAATTTTGTTTTTAAAATTTGTAATCTAAGTGCATATGCATACAGGCTGGTTCTAACACTCCCAAGTGTTACTCATGTGGAATTTTCATCATGAATAAGTACACTGCTGCAGTAGATTTTTCCTAGGCAGTGGTATAAACCATTACAATAAGGTCGGCATGCAAACCATTACAGCAGTTCTGACACAGAATCAGAAGTAGGTCATCAAAGTTTATTTTTTCCTAAACTACAGCAGCATCAATCTTCTTTTTTATTATTACAAGATAGGAATTATTTCTTGATGTCAGGTTTTTAGGAAACACAGAGGAAGCAAACATTTCAGTTGTGTCAGAAGCTGCATCAGCTAGGATTTGCCTTCAGTGAGTGTAACTCTTCCTGGCTGCTTGAGCACAAGCAATGGCAGAAATCCTCTCTGTGCTGTTGAAGCTAACTCAAACCTTAGTTTTGAGGTCATCTTTCCAAAACTAAAGTTTTGGATAGATGATGCAGGATGTCTGTTACTGAACATGTGGCACCTTACTCTAAATCAAAGATTTGCATTACAGCCACAGCATAAATCTAAAGATGTTGTGGGAAGCACTGACAGTTAATCAGTTCATGTCAGTAATTTTTCCTTTACCTAGATGCCATCAGTGGCAGAGTGCAGAGGTGAGCTCTGGGCTCCCACAACTGCCTGGGAGGGTGCAAGGGTGGGCAGTGAGAAGCCTTCTCCTGCCTGCTGTCTGCACCAGGGACATCCAAACTACCCTACAAACTCAGTGGCTGAGTGATGAGAGAATTTATTATTTCCTTCCAGGTGAAAAGGTGCTGCTTTTTGTCTGGACTAGATTTCTCAGGTTTGCCTGTATTCAGATCACAGGGACTGGATGCGGACAATACAAAATTCATTTCATCCAGACAAGCCATGAAATGGTATTGTTGTATATAATCATGAATGTGTGTTACTCTCCTAGGGTGTTTTGATGTTTGTTTCCTAGGGCCCTAAATATATATTTGGTTTTCTGAATAGTTCTGGGGTTTCTTTAAATCAGTGGAGTCCACAGTTCTTTTGTTATTCACTGGGTGGTAATACTATTAGTAAACAAAATACTTTCATTAGGACAAATGCTTTTTGTAAGCCTCAACTTATTCTTATTTCTGCCTGTAGCAGAAATTAAATATTTATTAGGCAAAACAAAGTAGGAAAGCTGCAATCATTCCCTAATGAGACTTCCTGCACTTTTAATCATGATTTGTTGGTGTCTCTGGATTTCTGTTACTCTCGGGAGTACTGACTTCATTTGATTTACCACATTCAAACTGAGTCTATAGGAACAAGCTCTGTATTGACTATTTCATTCTATTGGACAGAATTATAACCATCAGGATAGCTGCATCTCTGAATTAAATATAAGTATGTACATTACATACACAGGTGGGTACCAAACCCCCAATGCTCACATGCTCTCCCACTAAGGTCAGTGAGTCCAGCATTTATGAGAAAGCAGAGTTCTGCAGGTTTAGTTGGTCTCTAATGAAACATGACCTTGACCTGGGAAAGTGGGATTGGAGATGTCAGTATCTACACACTTGTTAAAGCAGTGAAATAAGGAATTTGGCTCATAGTTCACTGAAAAGGCATCAGCAAGGTTAAAGCAAAACATAAAAAAAAAACTTGTTTGCTGTGCCCCCTTGTTCAGCAAATAAATGATACTGTCAGAAGTTTTGAAGCAAGGACTTCAGCCTGTTCCTGGAAAGCATCACTGGCGAGAAAAATAATTTTCAGTAGAACTCAAGAACGGAGAGGAAAAACGTTATATAAATCAGTAATAAGTTGGCCCACAGGCAGCCAAGCTAAAGAGGACTCATTTCCTATGGATTTCTGTCTCTCCTGCCTCACTGTCTGCTTCCCAGCTCTCATCCACCATCAGCCCTGCCCGTCCTTCGTGCCTGCAGCACCTGGCAGGGAGCTCTGTGTCCGTGGCCAGGGTAGCACTGCTGTGTGTGAGCCATCAGCTGTCCCAAATTTGCATGGGACTTGTCAGAACTTGACTCACTGAGACCTCTGCCCTTCTGTAAAAGGGAGTTAAAACTGGGGGGGAAAGAGCAAACAGATGACAGGCAAACATTCATATGACACAATTATGTTGAAACCTTGTTTCCCTAAGGAACTGTGTACTTTTAATAGTCAGTATTTTTAGAGATTGGCTATTTTGTTTATTTTAGAAAGCAAGTAGAAAGATGCATAGAAACAATCCCTGAGGTGGCACCATGTTTTCTCTGAGTAAATACCCAAAGACATTCCACAACACACAGATCCTTACATATATAACACATATCCTAACCCTGCTGTTTATACCCCTCATACCCCTGGATTAAGCTGCCAGACACCGAGGGCCTGAAGTGCAGAAGCCCCATACCCAACCATCCTGCTCCCCTTGTCTGGTAGTCTCCAGGACTACTACATTTATGTCATCTAGATATGTTAATGTTTGGAAGAGAATTTGAAATTTAACAAATTACTCCCACTCAACAGAACAAAAGAACAACACCAATTTCTCCTTGACAGTGATGCTGGTGATGTCAGTAGGATTGCAGGATGTTAATTTATCCCAGCTTTTCTGAGTTGTGTGGTTCTCTTTTAATAATTGTCAGATTTCTTCTGTAATGACTGATTAATTGTAGGACTAACTCAATGCAGCTGAGATACCCTCAGTACCTTGCAGCAGAATTTTCAAAGCAAGTACACACTTTTCATTTTCTTGCCTCTGTTTTGCTAGCTTGCTTGTCACTTTAGTTTGCCCATGAGTGCTTGCCTTGTGCTGTTGCCACTCAGAAAATGCTAGGGCTGGGCAGTAAATAAGGGACAAAGATAGTATCAATTTAGATAACAAGGAGGGTTTGTGGGGGGGGCTTTTATGAAAGAAACTTTGAAGAAATTTTGCATCACTTGAAATCTTCTAGCTTTTATGAAAAAATAAAAAATATATTTTTAAATTTTTATAGTAATCAATTAAGCTATAAGTAGGGGGCATTTTTGCTTAGTTTTGAAATTCATAAAGGTGTAACAGAAAGCAATGATTTTCCCTGACATTAAAATATTAAATCATCACCAGAACTTGCCTCTGGACTCATAGACAATAATTTATGTCCTGTTCTCTCTTTTACTTTTGTCTCACAGGCATAATGTAAGAGCCCCACTTTTGTCACAGAATATGCATCTCCAGTAGTGTGTATTTTGGACAAACTTAGCTAGTAAGTTACATAGGCAACAAACCCTTGCTGTTTAGAGCGTTCTTAGTATTTCTCCTTTCATTTTCCCTTTCCAATATATACATCCTACAAAGCTTGAAACCTTTGGAAGGGACTAGATGTAACTTAAAAATTTACTAATAATTTAGAAATGTTTACTTGGGCCTAAAGTTTGTTCTTCCCTTTCTCTTTCTTTTTGTATTTCTAGCAGTGGCAAAAATATTGGCACTATCCCCCAGTGCCCAGAAACCATGTCACTGCAAATGGTAAATGAAGTTTAGTCCTAAGGTGTGATTCCAACGCCCTGAGTCACTCACCAAAGTGAGTGAGGCTGAAATTCCCTCATGTTATATCTCTGCTGTAAGTTATGGTATTGTCTCTTTGCTACAGAAGTTTTGATTTTATTCTCTAACACTACTTCCTTCTTGTTTTAAGGTTTGTTGTCCTTCTAGTTGTGTGAATTTTCAGCCCACCCAACACTCTTCTGAGGTACCTGTTACTTGCAGCTTTTGCTTCAGCATCCTAGAAGTTCAAGAGTCTTCTTGACTTCTATATTACGGGAGTTACTGCACTCAGATAAACTGCAATTCTAAATAATAATCAGATGCTTGAAAGAATATTTCAGCTGACATCCCTCTGTGTTGTTATTTTGTTTTACTATTTCTAAATATTCTGTTAGGTTTCAGCTCCTATAAACTATTTAGAAGCATCCTCCAGACTAGACTTTTGTCCATATTTAAAAAAAGATAGTTTGCATGGGTTGCATGAGGTCATGGGATCACTGCTTTTGGGATGAAGACTCCCTGAAGACTTAAGTGAGGCAGAGAACCTGACAGACTCACAAGGGCTAAAGGTATTCAAATTGTTATGATCTAACTCATAACTGTCCTAAGAAGGAGTTAAGTATAACAAAGAGGTGGGAATTTCCAGGCCTGAGTTCTGCACCAGAGTTTTTAGAATCATCATAAATGCTTGTTTTTCCCAAAACACAAACACCCTTCTGACCTCTCTGATCTTCTGACATAAACTAAGAAACTTTTCATGATAATCAGTCAAGTATCAGTTCTAAAAAGCCATTGCTGTGCATTATAGGCACTTATGCACATAAGAAAACAAAACAAAACAAGCGGCCTACCACTTTCCAGGATTAATGCTATGAAGGATTTTATGGGTGGTCCATAAGTGGACAGAATGTTGCACTAATGTGTGACTGCATGGCAATTAAGCTTAATTAGGGAAGGTTTTGAAAAAGACAATTATGGGAAAGTAAATTATGGGAATGAAAACAACTGTGCTTTTGGAGACCACACTCTGCCGCACTGGTTCAGCAAAGAGTTGCTAAAAATGTTCCTGTTCTGTCAGGTTCTGACGCACATCCAGCACTTTGTCAAACTGAGCGTTTTTCTTGAGAAGGGGGAATCTCTTAGGAGCACATTCTTCACACAGTCTCTGCTGAATTCACTGGTTTCATGAGCAGACAGCTGCAGTTCCAGAGTAAGAGCAGCAGCAGATGACCCTGAATCCATGGCCATCCGGTTTAGTTCAGCATTGCCTCTTTTCTGCGTGGAGTAACAAAGGTAATCATCAATGTGGATTTTCATGTGTGCTCTGGGGACATTTTTTACAATTTTGTATTTTTAGTGCTTTCTCAGATTTACAGCTGAGCACCCCATATGGAACATCTGATTCTGGTTGAAGTGATTTTCTCTGTTAAGAAGCCCTCAGTATGCAGACCTGGAGCCATTTCCAGGCTTCCACACTGCATGGTTTGAGAGTATTCCATAAAACAAGCTCTTGCAAAGCAGAGGACTTTAGAGTTTCTGTGCTTGCACTGTTTCAGAGCTAGGTGCCCTACTCCAAAAAAGCTTTAAAGGAAACAAAACTCAAAATGCTGAAATCCTCAATGGAACAGATTTGCCTTTTTTCTGCTCTGGACTAAATGGTTGTTACTGCAGGCACCGTTATAGTATGCTATGTTATATTGGATTTTATTAAATTATGGAAAATAATTAAATAGAAAAGCAGAGGAAAAATGCTACACAATCTGCAGGCAGATCTTTTTTTAGCTTGAATAATGTCTGGTATTGCTTTCCACCAGAACATGGGGATGCTTTTTTTCCCTAATGAACTTTTTACATCCGAAATGAAATACTGATTCTGTGGACAATTTATTAAGAAAAGCACCAGTTTCATGAGAGGAGTTTTCAGTCCAACAGGGAATTTATATGTGGAAATCATATATGGGTATAGGGAAACACCTCATAAAAAGAATGGCTACATGGTCAGCAGCTGTAATTTATGTTCATTCTTTTTTAATAAAAAATATGTGTTCAGACCGATCTTTTATTTTTTTTATTGCAGCTCAGCAAGGTGCCCTCAACTGTAGCTGTTTAACCTCCTGACTTTCTTTGGTTTGTTTTTGCAAAAAACAAAGCTAAACCTCGTACTTGTGTTTTCAGTTACGAAGTTTATTCGTATGTGAAAGGTGTGACAAGGACGCTTCTCTCCACTGAAGGATATTGAAGTAAGTGTTGACAGAAACATCACACATAAAAGAGTGTTAAAATGAAAACAGAGACAAGAGGATGCTAAATAGAGAAAAGAAGCAGGATCTGGGATTTGATGGCTGACCATGAACAGCTGTGCACAGGTAATCCAGATACATGTCCTAATACCTAAACTCCCCAGTTTAGGTGTATATTTACCTGAACTACTCAGATAAAAATTTGCAAATGAGGTATATGTCCAAAAATCACAATCTTCTTCAGGCCAAATGTTGTGGAAATATGTCAAATTAAAAATTATATTCCTAGAAAGGATGCTTCAACACAACCCCTAGATGGGATCTAATATTTAGCAAAGTGCTGTATCTGAAGAGAGATCCCCTTAGCTGCAGAACCTTACAGGTCCCCTACTTGCTTCTGTCTCTGTAGCTGGAAAGTGAAGGCAATCCTAAAGAGTTGCTGGCATGTGGGGTAATGAGAAATTCCAGGGTCTGGAGGGATCTGTGGCGACAACACTTGTGAGAGAAACTGGCACAATCTCCTTGGCAGAGTTGTACCCAGCTCCCGTAGACTCACTTTTTGGTGGTGGTGATCAGATTTTGGTGGAAGTCTGATGCAGTTGTGAAGCAGCAGGTGAACAAACCATTTCTTCACAAAAAGTCTAAACCCAGCATTTATTACTTCCTCTTAGGTCACAGAAACATCACTTGCCTTTCAGTTTGAAAATAACCACGCCCTTTTCATCCTCATCTGCCTAAAACACTCTGTTCTACATCTCTTTTGCACATGCTGTAAATCCCCTCCTCCAGCAGTATTTCTGCTGTGTTCCTGCTGGCACCATCTGCAGCAGCCAGACCTCTGGACATTCCTGGGACAGACTCAGAGGGAATTTTCTGATTCAAATTAGTAAGGGCAAAGGTCGGTATTGCTTAGTTAATAACAAGAAAAATTCACCTGGATTAGTACTGGCTCCTTAATAGGAACCAACAGAGCATCAAGATTTGGCCTTCTATGATTTGGATAGTTTCTAAATGATATTTTTATGTCAGAATGATGCCATTTTGCTTGTTGGAAGACTAGGGAAAAGCAAATTTTTACAGTTTGAGGAGAGCTGCAACAGCAGCTGGAGTTATTCTGCCTCCTCTTTCCCCACATTGCAAGCTTTCACAAAGCTTTAAATCCAGAGAAAGTGAGCTGCCAAAGAAAATACACTAGCAAAGTGGATGAGACCATTATTCCCAGTTTTCTAGGAGATATGTTTCAGTCTGTGAGTTCTGTATTTCTGCAAAAATGTTTAATATTTAGAGGTGAAGGAACTCAAGTTTGCTGGTATTTTTGAAATATTTTCTAACCTGCTCTTTTTCTTTTTCTTCCCACCTCCTTCCCTTTTTTGTGGCTTTCCAATGTAAGTGGCCACAGCAAACCCCAGTTCAGGATCCAGGAGGAATCCTCCACTGCCAGCCTTAGGAGAACCTAGGTGACAGCCGCCGAAACGCCTTGATCACACAGTCCCAGCACCCTGCCCTGCCAGCAGCAGAGGGAAAGTCCAGTTTCTGTTAATAAGGTGCAGAGAGTGGCCAAAATATTTTGTGAATTTTCTGGCTGAAAAGGGTAATGAAGCTACCTCTGTCTCAGTGCACTGGCACAGGAGCAAACTAAACAACTGGGAAACATGTTTCAGAGGAGAAATACAGAGCACATATGTCTTGGATTTCACACTTCCACTGGAGGCTGAGCTTTGCCTCTTTCTACCTCTTTTCCAGGCTGGCTGAACTCTTTTGCACAAAAAGTGAGCGAGATGGGGGAGGGTGAGCAAGCTTTTCTGCAGATTAGCTTCAGGCAGCTCTTGCCAGACCAAAAGTTACATTGGAAAGCATTTCTTACCAAAACAATTAATTTTTTAATATGTAAAGTAAAACCGGGAAGTTATTCCCACAAATTTGGTTTAAAATCTACCTTTCTATTAGCTTTGAGCAAAAGAAACCACACTGCTGAGAGCACAGTCAGATTCTTTGGGCTCTCTTCAAAAAGCTCGCTCTTTTTGTCATTCCTCTCTGACCTCCTCCCTGCTAGTCCCGGGATGAAAAGCAAGCCAAAGATCTGCTGAGAAATGGGCCGAGCCACTGCTGACCTTTGCAAATCCAATTTCTTCAAAGCGAGAGCTAATCGACGTGTTCCCACGCTATGTATTGCTGAAACTTACGATGCAATTCAAGGAATGAATTCACCATGGTGCAATCTCATTTTGAATCCAGTTTTCTTGTTATGTGTCAGAGGGTGAAGGAGGCAGAGTGTGGTACAAGTTATAGAGAGCAGTCACAACTAAGATTCACATACTATGTAAGTCTGTCTTTGAAAGATTTTGCACTTTGGATGGGCTCTTTCACTTAAAATCTAAAATACATTGGCGTTCCCCCCCCCCACCTTCTACCTTCCTCCCCCTCAAAAACAGAGAGACATTTCGCAGTTATTTAAAACAAAAATAAGCTAATACTAGTTTGCACTGAACAATCTCCAAACAGAAAAAAAAATAGGCTCTGAGGGTACTGTCTGATATGTAACTGATGTGCCTTTTGGAGAGATTTGTGTGCACAGGAGCTGTAGGTGAATGAGATTTTGCTACAGAGAAAGCTTTAAAATTCATATTCAAAATTCATATTCTCTCACTTTGCATATCTGATCTGGTATAAGCACTATTCTGATTTTACACCAGCCAGAGTGGTCCTCTCTGTGTGAAGTTTTGCAATCTCTGCTAGGTACCGCAGCTGTACCGGCAGGATCCGTGCAGGAAAAGCACTTTGGCATTCCCAACCTAAATCTTATAATCTGGTTCTAACAGGTGCCTGGAGAATGGCCCCCTCCCTGTTTCCCAGAAGGTGCTGCCATTTGTTTCCCACTCCACTGGCCAAGCCTTGGCTGAGCACAGCCCTGGGCAGCCCCTTGACCCAGCAGGGCAGCGGCAGCGCTCCACATCCTGCTGGCATGCTCCGAGCGCGGCGGGTTTGCGCAACGCTGCAACTTCTTGTCTGGGGCAAAAGGGACACAAGAGGACTCTGGTTCCTCGTTTAACTACTGTGGGGCATATGCCATGGGTAGCAAATCCCAAAGAGATGCTTTCAGCAGCCAAAGAGAGCAGTTATGTCATTGCCAGCAGGGGTTGGGCTTGGTGTGCCTCCCTCGGGATGTCATCTCTCCTGCTGGGAAGTCCTGGCATGGCAGGTAGCAGCCAAGCTGCTCCACTTTTGGTGCTTGACCACAGACCTCCCAGACTGTGGGGTTCTTGGCCAGTTTGGCCATATAGTAGAACCAGAGATATCGTCATTTATTTTTTTAGCTCATTGCCACCTTCATTGCACAAGTGTCATTCCACCATGGCTGATGTAATGGTGAGTCAAGTCCTTGGGCTAACGGACTGAACTATGCCTTGGCTGTAGCCTGCAGACTTCCAGAGGAACCATCAAAGTTCTCATTTTGTATTTGTCCCTAGGAAAGCAAATGAAAATATATAATTGTTCTCAAGATTGCTGAAAGAAGCAAGCCCTTTTTTAAAATTTTATTTCTGCGGCCATGAATAGTAAATTTCCCTATTCATGACTGGTTTATAAAAGAGTTTGCGAACTAACCAGATCTGAAGAACTTTCTTTCTCAGCAAGTATTGCAGTAAGAGAATTGTTTCTGGTTTTTATTACTTTCTCAATATTTTTGTTATCCTCTTTTCCCAGACACGATTGGATTTTCCAGTCTTCTGGACATCAAAGATTTTGGAGAAGAGATTGTATAAACTGGACAGGTAATAGCTGTTACCAGATGGATTTACTGGCGAAAAGGAGGGCTAATTTGTTTTATGTGTTTCCTCCCACTGCTGGTACTTTTCATTGTGGCACACTGTTGCTGTCCTGTGACAGGGAGTGTCCTTGCACAGAGGGAGCCCTTGTCCACAGGATTGCACCTAACTTCGGGTTTCACTGTTGGTTAAAGTGACTTTTCCAAGTGCCTTCTTCAAAGCTCTTTTACCTGGTCCTCCAGTAGTTTATTAGAGAGAAAAACATGAGAGAGCAGCTCTAATATTGTTAGATAATAGCACTGATTGACAGATTTAAATTTCTAAGTTTTTTAAGTCAGAAGGAGTAGTTTCCTTCACTTCTGGATATCTCAGGACACTTACAGTTGGATTTATTTTAGTAAAATAAATGACTGAATTCCCCAAGAAAGATCACAATACCAAAGGAGAATTTCAGCTGCATCATCTCTGTTGTGCCCTTCTATTTAACATGGGAATGAATGAATGCATGAATCCTCTTTATTCTTTCATCTAGTATAAAATTCCTTGTGCAAGGAATTCCTCTTTTAAATTTCTGACTGTTTAAGAAAGGTCATAGAGGGGAAGTGGTGATTTGTACTAACTGGTAAAAGAGACTGTCTGCATGTATAGCAAGCTGATGTTTGCATATTGCTATACCAACAATATCTGATCCCATTCAGATAACAGTAAAGTACCCTACAGCCTAGACCAGGTTCAAAGAAACTCACATTGCCTGTTCTTTCTTATTTTAGGTTTGATCTACTTGCTTTTGCATTTGCATGTTGTGTTCTTAAGCACCTACCCTCGGGTTTTTCAAGCTTCGGCAAGGGAGAGCACTTTCAATATATATCATCACAGGTAAAAGGGTGCCATGTCCTATGAATATGCTGACATTCAATCTGATCTAAATTTTGAGAGGGACTGGCATCTTCTCAGTTTAGTCTCTTTCTTCCTGGGGTAGCCTAGATTAATACTTTGATCCTTTCGTTCTCTGAGCAACTTCAGAATCCATTGCCATTGCAGGAGAGGAGATTCTGCCTTCACCCAGTCTGTGAGGAAACTCAGACCTTGGCAAAAATGCTCAGATTCTTACAGGTTTTTAACTTTTCTCTGCAGCTGCCTTGGGAGAGTTAGCTGGGGGAATATCAGTCCATGTCAATGGCTGCTGGACCACTGTCAGGAGAAGGGATCCTGTCTGGAGAGATTCTGTATCCAGAAAATCATCTCTAATGTGATTTTAGGCTTTAGGCCTTAATTAATTTTAAACTGTTTTTGTTTTTTAATTTCAAAAATTTTTTTTTTATCTCTCATTCACTCATTGAGTACTGCTCCATATAGTTAAAGCAAATGACGAAGAAAAGAGAGGGAGTTCAACTAAAAGAGGAACTGAGCTTCTGTTCAACACTCGGAGTATTTTTTTCTGCATAACTAGTGGAGAAATTGGAACAGATCTGTCAGTTTCAAGACTAAGTTTCAAGTTCATCTTTAGTGAACATTTCGATGTCAATTAGAATCAAACTACAAAGCCAATAACAAAAATGTGGAGGAGGCTCAAGATTAGCTCAGTAATTTGCTGCATGAACAGGGAAGTGAGGTCCTTGATTCTTCTTTGAAGAAAACAAGTTTTCTGTGTGCAGTTCATACAAACAGGGAGAGAAAGAGGTTTCTGACTAATAATGAAAGGTATGGTGAAATCTAGGTTGTAGTCCTTGTTTTACAGACAGCTCTTTCCATATGCCAAGGCAGGAGCCATGCAGGTGAATTAATGTAACCCTGTTATCTCTGGGTCCCTGGGCTTGGTGCAAGCACATATGGAATTAATGTAATGGAATTACATTTAATGTTTGTACAGTGGCAAAAACTGGTGTAAACACAGCCTTTTAAAGGTGTGTTAAACAGGAAGTCTCTCTCATTCAGAAGAGGGGATCTTCTTGGCAAGTCTAAGAATCAGCAGGAGCTTGTACAAGTGGTAACAACCATAACAGCCATAACAAATGGTTGCCAAGCTATGAAAGCAGCAGTTAATTCAGGTGTGGTGTCTCACAACCTGTTGTTATCTTTAAAGTGAGGTTTGTGAGCCTGTGTGCAGGCTCGTGCAGGTAGTGTACCTCAAGTTAAAGCTGTATTTCAATAAATCACAGAATGATTTCTGTTGGAAGGGACCTTAAATATCATTTTGTTCCAATGCTCCTGCCATATGCAGTGACATCTTCCACCAGACCAGGTTTCTCAAAGCCCCTTTCAGGGATGGGGAGCAAAGTTTTTTTTTTTTTTGCTTCACTCCATAAGCTGTTTGCACGGGATCTAAAGGGCTGTTTTCAGTGCACTATGGATAGACACTGCTGTCATAAGTTTTGTTGCTTCCTTATCATGTATTTCAGGCTCTGCAGTGACAGTGATGATTAAATAAAAAAATAAGAAATCATTAGCTTAACTAAGTATTTTCCATGAAGGAACATTTATTTATGGTGACACAGAAATACCATAGCAATGTTCTGAAGCAGTACAGAAACTGTGAATTTTAATGTATGTAGCCAACAGGAGATTAAAGGTCTTTGGTTCAAGAGCTTTTACTATGAAGACATAACAATAGTTTTCTTGTAATGTAGTTGAATCTTCATAAAAACGTGTTAAACTGCAAATTACAGAGGAAGTGTGAAGCACAAGGCAAATTAAAGTACAATAACCCTGAAAGGACAAAGTGATCCAACCAGTGATGTAGCACTTACAGGAAAAAGAATTAAGATTACTGATGGCTCAGTGCACAGAAGCAGCATTTATTATGATGGAAAAGTGTATACTGTGAATTAATTCTGTCAGTTTTGTGCTGGCCTGTTTCTCATTTTACATGGCAAATACTTTGATCCACGTTATAATGCAGGTACTTTTACAACCCTGGGAAATTTGCTGCCCCAATCTACAGATGAAATAATTTAATCATAAGTATTTCACCAGACATTTTTCAAACCAATTTAATTAGGTTTCATTGTTTACAGCCTTTGAGTATAGCATTCAGAGATAATTTAGGAGCACAACCTGCTTGTCAGCCTGAAAGAAAATGAAAAAATTGGTTAGTTGTTGTTATTTAAAACTCCAAAGTGTTCAAGCTGGAATATCTGTGGGTTTTTTTTCCTTTGAGAGAATTTATTCTTTTTATTAATTTCTCTCTGTAATCTTGCAATTCTTGCGCCTGTAAATACATATATTCTCATGTAGTTTCTGAAGGAATTATGGCATTACAGTAATTTTGAATGGATTTTGAGCTCTGCTGTATTCCTATAACATTTCAGAATTTCCAGGGGCCTCAGAAGGTTTGTTCCAGATTTATGGTGGTATAACACCAGCAGAATTCTATCCCTTTATATTTGCATTCAGTGCTAATGCATTAGTCACCCAGGTCCCTAAACAGGTTACTTATCCAGTCCACTTCTTCAGTACTGTTTTAATTGTTGCATTTATAACTTTTATAAATTTTATATAACATTAGATGATGGTAAATAGGTTTAAAGATAAGCTGAACTTTTAAGATGGAAACTGCTGACATTTTTTACTAATTTCTAGATCTGTTGTATTACCAGTACTCTTTGGGAAAGTTCTGATTTACCAAATATGATCTCATGGGATGTTTTATCTTATTGGCTTCTTGCCATCTTGCCAGAATGCAGTGTGTTCAGACACAGGGACCCAAAGTGCATGCTTTAGCATGCAGAGAAAGAGTGCAAAGCTGGTTTTCATTTTCTAGAAACAGATCCTAGTAACAGTGTTCCTCCTGCTGAATGGCTTTTTATTGTTGATTTTGTGCTTTTGATTGAGTTATGTGGGTTTATATTTTTAAGACGTGTACCATATATTCACAGGAAAAGTCCAAGTTTCAGAAGTTTTCTTAAAGTGGATTCAATGCTTTTGAAATCTTTACTGGAAACCATCATTCTCTGCCTGCTCTCAAATACAGTACTTATCTATAGCTCTGCCTGCACAACTCAGGAAAGATCCCTTACAAAACGTGGTTTTCCCCTGTTACTCAGAAGGTGCTACTCTAGAATAGAAGAGATAACTGGTTTGGTATTATACTGAGTTTTTTAAATTGCCAAAAAATCTATTTAAGAAAGTTCATCTTAAGAAATGCTATCTTGAAAATACTAACTTAGAAAATAACACCTTCTCACTAACCCCTATGAAGAATTTTTGGTTTTCAAGCATCTATGTTGTTCAGTTGAACTGACCATTCCCCTCCCATTAGTAATTTAATATCTGTATTTTTCATAGAGCAGCTCAGCAGTGTGCCAAATGTTATTAGCAGAAAGGCAAAGCAAAGAAAGATTCTGATCATAAATCAGAACTGTTTCAGTAAAAGTCTGGCTCAAATATGCACTGATTGAAGGTGAAGTTGGCAGTTTCACTTGTGGGCAGTTCATGTGAGATCATTTAAAATTATCTGGGAAAAGGTCTGAAGATCAGTGCCTCAGTGATCTCTGCTTGTATCTGTATTTTTACATTTAGAATATATATATATTTAGAAAAATATTTTTCTATATGTATATATAGAAAAATAATGTATTTTTCTCCTTGCGTTTTTTTTCCTTTTTATTCATCTAGTTATAGCTATAAAATTAATAATTAGCAATAGATGAATACAGATACAACAATTTCTTTTCCCCCCCGTCCTTTATATTTTTGCTCTCTTTATCTCCCATAGCTTATTTGATCAGTGTTTTAGCTCTGTTGAAGGTACATAAATATTGTTGCACTCACTCCTTGGATAATTTTTCAAACCAACAATATTTGAATGACTATAAATTAAAAATCTGTTTTTGCTGAACATCTGGAGATGCACATTCTTCTGATTTGCATTTAGGTACCTCTGCTAATATTCTGGTAAGATCTGAGATAGAATTTTCATTTCCAAGGACTAGACAGGTTTCTGAAACTTACAGTGGAACACTCAGTACAGCTCGGGTGATAAGGTAGCACTCAGTGAAATAGAAACCAGCATTTAACAGCTTTGCAGAAAGGATTATTTCCATGGAAGTGTTCAAACCAGATAGAACCAGGGAGTTTAGAAATTGTGCAGAAAGTCATGCCTTGACAGGATTTGGTCACTGTCTAGGTCAAGAGTTAGATGAGGTTTAGACAAAGTTCATGTCCTGATGCTTTGCCATCCATAGTAAAAAAACTTTATGTGAATTTGAGCATCTGATTATGCAGCTGGTACCAAATTAATTTGTTGTTAGCCTCTTTTAAGTACTGCATTTTAGAAATCTCATATTTTTCAGCCTGAATGGTGTTTCTCTGGCAGCGCTTTTTATGGGATTTTGGAACTGTGACCAACAAATAGTTTTGTTCTTGCTTCTGTAACATTTTCTGCAATTTCTGCCAAGGCATTGACATATGCGAAGAACTGTGCATTTTTTTTTTTTTAACTCTGTGGTTATTATATAATTTTGTAGGATTTAGTCAATACCATCAAGTACTGAGATAAAGTGATTTTCCCTGGAAGACGACCAGTATTGTGCATTGGAGGGTGAAAAGATGATATGCAGAAATACTATACTCTTGGGAATTCTCGTAATGTCAATTTCTGAGTTCTTTCACATGCTGGCTTAGGAGGTGGTTTGCTTTATGTAACAGGTTCAGTACTCAGTGTTACCTCAGGATTGATTCCCCTGACTCCAGTTTGCCTCTCTTAATGTGAGGACAGTGATGGGGGTGTTATGCATGCAACACCACACCAGCAAAATAGTCTCTGCACCCACATGAAGTTTAGCAGAAAGAGGCTGAATTTGGCAACTTGTGTCCATCTCTCTCACTTTCATTTCTAAAACCATTTGATAAAACATATCATGTCAGGTCCCCTGAGTTTTAATAGTGATGGTTAACCTCCTAAACAGCTTGCCTTCAATGATAATTTCCCGTTTAGAGTCTAATTCATGTTCAGTCAATGTATGTTTCATAGGTTGCCCTGCTGTCTGAGGAAGCTTCAGCAATTTTTTCATCCAAAAGGATACTTATCCTTACCTCCCCAGCTGGACAAAGCCAGCGATGAATAATCACTCATCACTTTTCTGAAATATCAACATTGTCTCTCCTCATGGCAGAGAATTCCAAAGTGTCCTGGAGAAAGCAGGTCGCGTGAATATCCTTGCTGTATTCCTAATTGTTTGCTCTGGCAGTTCCCAGTGAAGCAGCTGGTTATCTTTGGAAAGCTATGCTTGTTGTTTTGGGCTTGAACATCATGTGTCTTTAATTTTCAGCACTAGCCACAGGGATAAGTACACAAATATCTGCTTGAAGACCTTTTGCCCTTGGGAACCCAATATATACTTGGCAGCCTCTCTGACAATGGGACTGAGGGGACAATCAAAGTTGACTCATTGCCTTATATCCCCTCAGGGAAAAGAAAGGATAAAAATGGCAATTGCTTCTTCATTCAGTTGCCTGAGGCAAGTCTTTCCTGTTTTGTAGAGAATAATCTAATGTAATTTCTAAAAAAATTTTCATTCCCTCTGTATGAAAAAATTATTCCATCCAGTATCATACAGCTAATTCTGAGGCTTGGCCTCCTCACATCCCACTGTGGTCCTGGATGGACTTCAGAATTCCATAAACCTGCACATAACCAGAAATGGACGTTCACATCTTCCATTCAGTGCCTACCTCCAACAGAATCTACTGTCACATTCTTCAGCTCAGCATACAGTAAACTCTAATGAAAATGGGTTTGTACAATGCTGAAAATGGTGCTGTACAGTGAAAATGGTTTAAGCCTGCAGGTGGAGAGAACGTGGATTGTGCTTTATTTTATTGTGCCCAAGCTGTTCACAGACTCTGATTTCCTACTGCATTATCATGACCAGCCTAAATGAGCATCTTGCTATGACTTCCAGTGAAGATATGCATTACTCTGTCTGTAGATATAGCTTCCCAAATATTCCCCACTTTCTATGCCACACTGAAGTGGAAAAATCATTAGTGTTGGTAACATCATGATACAAAGGGAAAGCCTGAGCTCCAATGTATGAATTAGCTAAAGATTAAACAGAGTGCCAATTGAACTCTGATTCTTTCAGAAATGTGGCTCGGCAGAGCTCCAAGCTCACATCAAGTGATGCCAAGACATTTGCTCATGTCTCCATCACACCTTATCTCAAGTGGTGAAACTGCCAGAAATCATTTTCCTTAACAGAAAAGCTACATGCCTTTTGCATGTTGCTCTTTGTTATGTAAATCTGATATGTTTATTATTTCGATTTGAAAATAGAATTCAACCCTTGTATTTTAGATCTGAAAAGCATATTTCTTTAGGACAGCTTTTCCATTTTTCTAGGAAATGCATTCCTTTTATTTTATAATCAGCTCAACTCAACACAAGAATCTTATGGAAGATGGTGGCAATTATCAACTATGCAAGTCAATAATTTTATTTTCAAATCTCCAAGTTTTACTGTTAGTCCTGAAATTCATTGCTATTCTAGGGAATATGTTTTTGCGTTGATGAGGGATTTGTGATACTACTTAAATACAAATGGGAATTTTAGCTGGGTAAGAAGCTCTCGAAGATGAGATTATTAGCTTAACATGGATCTGAACTTTGTATTGCAAAACACTGCACAGGTTTTCAGTGATACAGATCCCATTGGAATCAGCTATTGTCTAACAGCTGAAAATAATAGGGCTCAAAATTGTTCCAATTATTCCTGATTTGAAAGGTAAGTTGGTATGGCTTTTTCGATGCTTCATTTGAAATATGCTTGTATATTGCTTAATTATATTAATATATGTATTTAATCATAGTGTCCAACACAGAGAATATGAATTTCATCTGTAAGCAAGACCCTGTCTTTACACTTTCAGGAATGTATGCCTGAACCTGATTGTACAGTTAGCATGGGTTTTGCTTTGTAACAATTTCCTTAAGTTATAAGGACCTCAGTCTTCATTAAAGTATGATTCCATTTGCATTTTTTATGTCTGCTTCCAGTAATTTATTGGCATGCGAGAAATAAAGCTCCTAAATCAGTGTTGTATATTTTATACTGAAAAATCTGACAGAGGTGTGGGACAAGGTAAAGTTCTTCTATTTCTCCTTCTTCCTTTTAGCTCTGCTCCACACTGAGGTATGGAAACCATCTTGCACAACATTACACAGACATAAGAAGGCACCCCATACTTGAGAAAGGACTGGAGTGGGAAAAACAAGTGTGATGTTAAGAGCAAAGCACAGCAGAAAATACTTTAGGAGGATCTATAAAAAGTTCAAATTGGTAAAGCATGTATGTGGGTGGGTTAGAAAGAATAAAGCATAATTAAGTTACTGAAGCCTCAGCAGGACTCTGAATATTGTTCAGCGTGCATTGCAGTTCACTTTAAAGAAATGTCAAGAATTGCCACAACCTTAGAATGGGGACTTTTTTGTAGCGTAGCATTAATTTCACCAAATACATGAAGGCTGCCCTTTCTTGGGCTTTGCGTCATTGTGCTGCAGGGTACTGGGTGTATTACAGGAACACCTGAAGGCAAACGTCCCACCCTCTGCAAGCTGGTGACAGAGCAGGGCTGTCCATATTAGGCACGGCTGAAAGTCAGAGGAAACTTTGCCATCCTGCATGACAAAGGGTGCTGGGTCCCATCTTCTCCCCGCTGTGGGTATGGCCCCATTGGGGTGTCCCTGCCTGCACACTAATACCAGGAGAAGGGCGGATGGATGAGAGGAGGTAGCTTTGCCCTCTCTCCCTCTGAAGTATCAGGGAACAGAGAAAAGCGTGGCAATCAGAGAAAAGTCTCCTTGCAGCTACTGAATAGCGTTTCTAATTGCTCTGTGATGTGAACAGCTTAGGTCCGATGCCCTTGTGCCATGAGTGACCCAGACACTGCCCTCCTGTGCTCCTCACCAGCCCCTGCTTCCCCCTCAGTGACCACCACAGCAAGACCCAGGCCTGTACTTCTTTACAAAAGCCTGTGTTGTGCCTGAGGCTCACGGAAGAAAACACCACCGTGAGCTTCATAAAGCATTTTATAGGATGACAGTGCTTCTGCCATCCTGGAGCAGATCCAATCTGGGCCCAGCCATGTGAGCAGCCTGATGCACACAGTGCAGGACAGGTGGGTCTCAAAACTGAAATCAGATAGGGAATTTGGCCCCCAGCTCAATAGGCAGCCTTTCATTTAATACTCCTTCTCACAGTTCCCAAAGCCCAAGGTCTCTGGGAGATGGTTCTGCCCCTCGTCCAGGCCCATGTCCTGCCCAAAACACCCTTGCAGGAACACTCAGGAGGCTCTGTCATGATGGGGGACTCCTGCACCGGCAGATTAGAGCAACAGTGTGGCTGGGAAGGTCATGTACAGCAGCTATACTTGTGAAATCATGAAGAGTAATGAGGATTTTAGTTGTTATTTTGCTCATAAATACACATTCTAATGTGCAGAAAACACACAGCGTTGAATGAAAATATTCTGATCTTCAGGGAAAAAAAAAATATTAGCCAGAAGTGTCATGCCTTTCCATATGTTCCACTTAAAAAAAAAAAAAAAGACCTTTTTTAAAATTGCTGCCAGCCAACATTTCAGAAATATTTCCTTTGTGTTTCTGTTCAAAGTGATTTATGTCCAAGTAGTCTCTAGCTGGTTCTCAAATTGCAGTAATGATTTTTATTGTTTGTTTATAGTTTTATCTGAACATTTCTGCCTGCCATGTCATCTGTTCTGCCCAGAATAAGTGTCATTTATAGGCAACTGCTGTGCCCATGTAGAGTCCATTGTTCTGTCTTGTTTCTGACTGTTCACATACATTGGATTTAAGTTTTGGGGGGAAAAAAAAAAGAGAAAAAGGACAGTGTTCTCACCTTGTTGACCAAGAAAACAAGTTTTTAAGGAAATTATTCTGACAGATGTATGGTGAAGTCAGGATGCTTGGGCCAAGTGGCAATTTTTGCCATGAGAAAAACTGAAATACTTTCCCATGAAAGAGGTGAGTCCAGAGCTGCATGTCACCAACCCAGAAGTTGTGAAGCAATTGGACTGTAAGGGAAATGCAGTTGGGCCCAGCTGTGGTAAACAAGGTCATTGTGCAGGACACTGCATGGGGAACGTGCTCCAAGGCTTCAGGACTGGACCATACAGTATCACAGAGGAGATTTAGTTGAGATGTTTGAGCTGAAAAGTCTGTCTGCACACCAGGCAGCTTATTCTGCTCAGTTGAGACCCACGTGCACATTAATGGCTTGGATGTTCTTTAGGCAATTTTGCATGGGAACACAAAAGGGAGAACAGATTTAAAGCAGGAAAAGAAAAGGAGGAGAAAGAGGAATTGACAGTAAAGCAAAACATTATATTTATTGAATGAAAATTCAAGAACATAATGTAGTTCATATCAATATAAATATCCATATGACAAATTCAGCTGTCTGTTTCAGTGAAACAGCACTATTTTTTTAAATAATAAGCTCCAACAAATACTCCAATGTTTTGAGAGAAGCTGAAGATGTCCACCATCATTATGATAAAATAAAATAGTTATCTATGTGGGTTGTCTTTTGCTTCTGTTTTTACCTTGTGGAAACAAGAGAAAAGTAGTTAAGGGACAATAAAGAAATTTTTCAAAGAGAAAAACACACAGTATGCAAAGAGTTTGTTTGATTGTTGGTTTGGGGTTTTTTTTTTCTGCAGAAAGTACCTTTAAGTGTAGGTATTTTTCTTTTCAAAAGACATCAGAGAAATTAAGACTAAAAAATATCTCATTCTCTTCTTTAGTTGGGACTCCTACAGATTCATACACATCAGCCAGCAGCCTGTTGTGATCACTGCCTCATCTGACTCAAATAAATCATCCTGTATCTTTTGACTCAGTAATTCCTTTACCAAGCTCATAACAACATACAATTAAAAGGTTGTGATCTGATAGTGGTTTCACTTATGCTGAATTCCAATTAGATCTTTAAAAACTAATCAGACCCACATTAGAGATTAAAATATCACATTAATCTTAAAGTGTAATGATACCAAAAGGATGATGAACCTAGTGCTGTCACACATTCTGAGTAAGGGATCCACCTCTTTGTGGGGGTTTTTGTGCTGGAGGGAGGGTCTTGAAGGTGAATGCATGGTTAACCTTCATGGTTCTTCGCTTCACCCTCTTCTGCAGCCCTCAGTCTGCCCATAGTCATCCCTCAGGGGATCCTCACAGGCTGTTGCACAGAGAATTGAGCAATATGGAGCGTGTAGCTTGTAAACTTAGCATCTTTGGTTTTCTTGCAAATAATTTACTAGACATTGGAGATGCATCATGGTGAGAGAAAGAAAAAGGGTTTTTTTTTCCCTGAACAACTGTCATCCTTCATCTTCCAGACAGCTTCTCTTTTCCAGCATCACTCTGTTAAATCAAAGTCCCAAAAGCAGTTTTGTTACTGAAGGCAGGTGTGCTCAGGGGTAAAGCAAAGCCTGCAGCTCCAGCCCAATTTGTCTCACAAACAGAGCTCAGGAATGAGCAGGTTCAAGGAGCACCCCAGCTATCAGCAGTCAAACACTGTATCCCACATGCTAATGTTAATTTTAACAGCACAGCCCTAAAATTAAATTTTTAGAAGGCACAAAGAGTACTAGGAGTGGAAAGAACAGAAGTTTTTGATGGAAGGAAATAGCATTCACACTTTGATAAGCTCCAAAAATGCCTTTTCCAAACAGAAGTGCTTTGTATTACACCATTCCTGTTGGCTGTTTGGGGGTTTTCCATCAGATGTAGGGACTTCTTGCCACAGCAATAAAGGTCAGGCACTATTGTGCCTCTTTTATGATACTGACTAACACAAATCATGTATACAAACTCAGGAAGTATTTATTTTTGTGAAATACATACTTAATAGTGGACTACAAATCATTTAAAGATGCCTGTGATATGAATCATGCCTCAATTTCATGGATAAGTGGAAACATTATGCAACTTACGAGTTTTTAAAGCACTAACGAATCTGAACTATACAGCAGACTGGAGCTGGACCTTTTCACCCCTTCTAATATAAGCTGTGGCTATTTAATATTCCTCACTAGGGAATAATGCTGACCTACAAGTCAACAATATATTAGGCACCAGAGCCATGAACCTAGTGAGAACATAAACTAAACTGATTTTCAATTTTGGTACATTACAAAAAGGACCATTATTGTGAGGTTAGAGATGTCAAAGTTGGTGACCTGGTATAATGAAGTATTCCCTGCCACATAGTCATGCATGAAAAGTAATTGGAGGCAGTATAAACTTTAGAGGCTTAGGACTTTTTCCCTCTTAAAGTAAATATTCTTTTCCACTCTTTTTTTTTTTTTAATTAATTTTTTTTTTGTGATGCATCATAAAAGAAATGATGCTCCTGTAATTTGCAGTTGATGGAGAAATGTGTGTTTAGGAATGAGGTCACATCTTAACGCTTGGGTTACTTCCATAAGGCACTGATGAAAAGCAAGTTGCTACCTGCCAGCTAGGAATGACATTAAAATATTATGGCAGCATGTGACCAGCTTTAGAGCTTAAAATCCTGAAAGGACAGAGACAATGTCCCCTTTGAAGAACATTCCTGAAGATCACTTTACAGTTTCTGCTAAGCTTTAAAACAGAAAGTAAACTCCTTTATGTCTAAACTGCAATGATTAAAGTTGTGTCTTCTTTGCTGCAACGTCTACATCTGAAAACCCACCTTTAAAGTGTACACAGGTCTTTTAGCTTGTCCATCAGGTATGTCTCCTAGCACTTTGTCTAAGGAATGGTCTTTTGATACTGTGAACCCCATGCTTCAGGGGTTCATTTATGGCTCCACATCCCAACTTTCTGTGCTGGATTTGACCAACTTATTTCTGATTTCCTCTACAGCATCATGTGAGTGGGCAACAGCATCTCTCCCTAGGAACTAGACTGCAGAGGGCACTCCTATATAAGAAGGAATTGCAGTCTCCAGGCTCATTTACTTTTTGCCTTGAAGATTCCTTGTAATTTTTTCTCTTTTAATAATTAATGACACTATTATTGCGCTGAAAGGAAAATCTTATTATTCTTGACAATTGGTTTTGTTATGATTATTTAATTTCCCCCTCTCCCCAGGTTTATACAATTACAATGGCTGTCAGTGCTCATATCATGTTCGGGTCATCAGCTTCAGAAATTAAACATACACAGAAGTACAACCTAAAATATGCCATCCTGAGGCAAAACTTGAGCACAGCAGCACAGGGAGTGCATCGATGAGGACAGAGATGACCTTTGCCATGTGCCTGGGAAGCAAGAGAAATGCTGTCTGAGGCAGGTGATCTGTGGAGCAACATGAAAACCCCTTTCCTCGTGCCCCATCTCCAGGATGGTTTGTTGGAAGCATTAATTTGGTGTTGATTTCCGCTGTGACTGTGAGAACAGAGCCGGCCTCAAACAACAGTTCCTGAGCTTCCTGGGGTGGATTTCTGCCCCCTAAACTTATTGGGAGATGGGGCTGGACAAACAGGCTGCAACTCAGTGTGGCCAGAGCTCTGCAGTTTGCTGGCAATAGTGGAAGGAGTGTGTTGGATGGGGACTATGAGTAGCAAACAGCTGGGTTACAGCTGCCAAAATGCAAACTCCTCTCCACAGCTATGATACTGGGCCACTGAAACCCTGAGAAGCCCCAAGAGGAGGAATAAGTGTCGTTCATGACAGCCTCACACACACACATGTACACACACTCCCCCCATTTTATCAGCTAGAGGTAAAACCTGCAGTGGCATCATCCAGCAACTCTGTCTTAAGGCTGAATATCTTAAACCTAACAGAAGTAATTCTAGAAGTTAAGATGAAGTCTGAGGAGCTCCTACATTTCAGTTTAAATGTCCTTCCATTAGCTTTGTTTAATAGAACAAGTCTGCACTAGCCTTGGCTTCTGCAGGGGGTACAGCTCACGTATCACCCAGCTGACAGCAGAAGGGTCATTTCGTTTCCTGTGGGTAGTGGAAAGTGATCTTCCTTTTCACACTTTCTTCTGGAAGCTTGTCACAGGGACAGTGTAAGATCAGGCTAATGCTGTGCAAAAGGCAGTCTGAGCAAGGAGAGTGGGACCTGGCTGTTGGAGCAGCACACACGTCCCAGCTGAGCCTTGGATCGTGTTTATTTCCAAACCAAAGACCTCACATTTCAAGTGAGAGATTTGCTCAGTAAAATGCATGCATTTCATATTTCATTACCACATGCTGTATGTCTCATACAGTGGTTAAGAAATGAAGGAGTGTGGAAAGGACAGTTATTCAGGGGAGCTGCAACCATAAAGATTCCACTGAACAGGATTTTCCCTTGTTCCAAACTGTTATCTCACTAGATAAAAACTTTGTGCTTTATGATTAAGCTGATTGAGTTGGACAAGCCAGTCTGTGGCCCTAGAAGCCTGGATTTTCAAATGTGCTGAGCACTGGCAGCTGCAACCAAAATCAGTGGGGACATCTAAAGTGCAAATAATGTGGTTCTTTAAAAACCCAGGCCAGAGGCTGTCTGTGAAATGGGAGTAGGGATGCTACCTTGCCTCCCAGGGGTGCTGTGAACATTTGTGGCATAGCTACTTACACTAGTAAGAAGTTACACTGAAAAGTCCAATAAAAAAAGCATTTATTTTTTCAGATCAGGGTTATAAATATTAATAAAGGGCCTCAAGCCACAGAGTGAAGAGGAAACAAATATGTACACTGAATGGATAATAGATCATGCCCCTCCCTCCCAAAATAGATTAAAAATAGCATTAGGCACACCACATGAACTGAATTAATGTTGTGTAGGCCTATCTAACTCCAGAATTCCCTACAGGAT